GATTTTAAAATCAGCCACCAAGATAAAATTCATTCTGAGGTGTTGCAATGTAAAGCTTTGTTTCAAAAGGATCATGGCAAGTATCTTGAGGATGGAATGTTACCCATGTTGCCTTGTAGCCATTCTTCTCTCGGAAGTCAAGGTAGTCAATCACACTGGGTATATCCTTTGCTGCAATTTCATAGGCAATTCCCCAAACTTTTTCCTCGGCATTTTCCAGAAGTGTAACGACTCTTCCAGGCTGAAAAAAGAAGAAAAGAAAAAAAAACGAGAGAGATGAGTAAATTTTTCTCTCGCTTGCGGAGTATTATGTGTAGTATGTACCTGTGAGCACTAACGGAAAGGGATGAATAGCTTTGAAATATTTTTGCTGTCTCATGCTCTCCCAGATATTATAAACTGTTTGGGGCATGGTAAGTACAGTCTAAGGTGATGCGATTTAGAGTAATGGAGGCGTAAAATAGACTCGATTGATTCCGAGGAAAGAAAAGTGCACTTATATGAACGTTCTCCATCGTGAAGGTTGAGTTTGTATCGGACAACGTTCAGGTTTGCTTGACTGCTGGGAATTATATTCCGTACCTTCTCTGGAACACCTCTGTGATCACTGCTTCCCTGGTAGAATCTTCGCTCGTATCCTTTGATGAATCCAGTAAGTTTCCTCAAAAATGGAAAGTTTACCTTCCATATCAAAGAACCATAACCAAATATCCACAAATTTTGCTCGTCTGACATAATTACCCCGTCCAGTCCGGATAAAATAAATAAAACAAGTGACTGCCAAACGACATTTTATCACATCGTCAACATTTCAAAATTTCACCGCTGTCAAAAGGGATCGAGGGCTCTGACACTTGGAGGGACTGGGCGAGGCTGCCTAATGTCACTAGATCTGCCCGTGCCTTGGCAGTTCAAATTCGCTGGTGGATATTGACCCCCTCTCACACTAACTCGACTCGGACTCCTTGTCAAAACTTGTGTTTTAGGTTACTCCCCATCACGATGAAGTCCATCACTCCATCCTCTCTGACACTGGCTCGTTTCGATTAGAATAAAAATGTATGTAGGAAAATAGTAGGCAACGAACTGATTTGGAGCTTTTGACGAAAACATAGAAGGTTTGAACTTCAGCGACTATCTAAACAATTCGTTTTGATTAATATTCAAGGTAACTGTTGATGAGCTCAACGAAGTCCAACGTGGAATGCAACCAATCGAACAAATTTGCCTCGCCTGAATCAACTAGAAATAAAAATTAAAAACAACAGAACATTTACCTCGGGATTCTTCACGATTGTAACTACTCTTCCAGGCTGAAAAAAGAAAAAGATACGGGGAAATTAAAAAAATCTTTCTCTCATTTGTGGAATATTCCGTGTAGTATACTTGCTTGGGCAGCTTGTGGAAAAGTGGACAACATCATGAGAAGCCGCAAGGCAAGTATGAAGATCAACAGGAAGATACACGATGAGTACATTCTATCAGTAATGACTTACGGGTGCGACACATGGGCATTGAACAACGCTATGGCAGACGAAAGCTTGCGGTCGCACAGCGAAAGATGGAACGTATAATGCTGAGCATTACCCTTCGAGACCGAAAGCGAAACACCTGGATTCGACAAGAAATTGGAGTAAGCGACATCATCAACGCTACTGGGATGGCAAAGCACAGATGGGCTGGTCACATAGCTAGGCCTTTCCCGAGTGCGCTGAGCACCTTTTGAGAACTTTTTTCAGTTTGGAGCACTATCTTGCATTTTGAGCACCCTCAAGCACTTTTTCGCACTTTGGGCAATTTTAATTTGAGCAATATTTCACATTTGGAACAAATTTCGAGCAACATATGTCTTCTAAAACATTTTATAGCAAAAACTGTGTGTCGCTCGCAACGAGAATCGTGTTCCAGGTCATAAATTGAAATAACTAATGATGTACTTGTCAAGAATAAAAGACCGTTGTCACGGAAAGGCACGTGGACTTTTATATCCTTACTGAGTGTGAGAACAGAAGTTTCAGATTGGCTGCTGCATCATGCGTGTGTCATTTCAAATTTGTAAATCATCTGATGTCTAGACTTTACACTAGTACTGCTGAATTTATTTACGATTCATAACCGGCTTTAGTTTTTTATGAACACAAATGGAAGCACTAAATCAGTCGGAAAACAATAGCATTGAAGACGAAGAGGTGATTGATCCAATTACAATAACAGTAAATGCTGGAGTTAGCATCCCTAAGTGCTCCAGAAAGTGCTTCGATAGCACGAAAGCGAAAAGTTCCGATCAACAAAGGGAAGAACAAGCCAAGAGGAAGCGCCAAAACCAATAATGTGAGTACATTGGGTCGTCTCAAAGACTACCCAAACTAACACTTTGCCATGGTAAAAGGAAAGCTTAGATGTAACACCTGCAGCGAAGTTCTAAGTGATGAGAAAGGTTCTATTGAAAGACACACGAAATCAAAGAAACATGAGAAGGGCCGGGCTGATACGGAGAGAAATAAATCAGAACAGCAGTCTATCAAAGAATGCCTGCAGAAGAGGGCTAAACGGGAAGATGCATGTGGATCAACGTTCACCGCATCGGTATGAGCTTGTCGAGTCTGCTCTGTCGGGAGGAGTTGCGCTATCGAAAGTGGATGCTATGCGTCCCTTTCTTGAGAAATATGGGCAAAGGCTAACCAGTAGTGCCACCTTAGTGAGCTTATACCTGCTGTACTAGATAAAGAGAAGGAGACTTTAAAAGAGGAGCTAAAGGTTGCAAAGGAGGCTTCTGTCATTTTTGACAGGACGGCCAGGTTGGATGAGGCGTTGGCAATCGTAGTGCGCTACATACAGCAAGATTTGAAGCCGACTCAGCGACTTATACGTCTGGAGGTGCTCGCAAAGGCACTTATTAAGGGAGAGCAGTTGGCTCAAAGGCTGATGTTATTTTTGGCTGTGGACTATATATAGCTTTGGTCCGGGGGCAATCATTGGAGGGATGCGAGATGGTGCATCAGTGAATGCAACTGCCTTGAGTCAACTGAAGTTCTTTTATGCAGACCTTTTTGACGTTGTATGCTTTTCTCACACTTTGGACAATATTGGCTCTCATTTTGAATTTCAAGTCTTGGATTCGTTTATCATGTCCGCTTTTGGATGAGTTTCTTTTCCCACAGTTACAATGCCAGGCTTGCTTGGAGAGAGAGAAAACTGGGCAGTCAATTCGTACCTTCAGTGACACACGGTGGTGGAGTAAATTAAATGAGAGGTGGTTAGTAAGCAAGTGTTGGACTTGTTTGGGGATGTCGAGCCTTTCCTTCGCGAGAACTAGGAGATTTGTCCAGCAAATCGTGGGCATCTCCTGGAAACATTTGGTAATCCCCAAAGCTGTCAAGACCTACGCTTGGAGTTGGCTGCTGTTATCGATGCCGGAGTGCATTTTGTAAATGCGACCTATTACCTAGAAGGCGACTGGCTTTTAATTTTTTCTTGCTACGAGCGTCTTTCAGCTGTTGCATAGGCTGTAGCAGTCGATCACTACCCCAATACCGAGGCGGTTGCTCGTGAAATTTCCAACGGAAACGTTGCCATCTACAATCAGTTAATGGCACAAGCAAAGGCTTGTATTCGGCCCGGACTGAACTTTTACTAGCACAAATTCAGCGTACAGTTTCGTGACACAGTAAGAACTTTTTAAAGCAGCACGATTCGGTTGCCCCGTACAAGTGCAAGCCCTACGTGCGACAGGAGTATCACCTGAAGAACTAAGGAATTTCCCTTTCCTCAACAATGACACCACAATAGCGAATCTAGCGCAAGAGCTTCGTCTGTATATCGCTGCAGCTGATGGGGTCAACGTCGCATGCGAGGAGGACAAAGTCACTTGGTGGGCTGCTCACAGAGATACCCTTCCACACTGGGGTGCACTTGTCAAGAAACTACTGCTGATTCAATCGAGTTCTGCTACGGCTGAAAGGGTTTTTAGTCTCCTTGCAAGTGCATTTACGTCACAGCAAGAATGCTCTGCAAGATTACCTGGAAGCGTCTGGCTACGATACAGTAAGGCAAAAAGAGTCTAACATCTTTATACGAAAACTCTAAATAGACAGAAGTCAGAGCCTTCAAATTTTATTATGCACGTGATAGAGATGATTGTTACGTTCGTCGTTCCCGTTTCAGGTGAAGTAACTTGAAAAATATTATTGTTCTATATTCTATAAACCTTTCACAACAACCTGTCGAATAACACTACGCAAAATAGATTGTTAATTACTTCAGTAAAATTTGACATATTTTCGAAAAGCTTAGAGGTAACTGTTCACAACTTTTAGCACTTTTTGAGCACTATTTTGAGATTTTGAACACTTTTTGAGCACTTTTTAGCCATTTTTGCGAGCACTTTTTTAGGATTTTACGAGCGCAATCGGGAAAGGCCTACTCATAGCACGGCTGTCAGATAATAGATGGACCATTAGAGTAACGGAGTGGACCTCAAGAGATTGGACCAGAAAACAGGGTCGTCCAAAAACACAATGGAGATATGATCTAACTAGACAGCTGGGACCTGCATGGTCGAGATTGGCTAAAGTCAGATACCTGTGGGATCATTCCAGGGACGGGTTCCTCCGCCAGGAGTGAATTTAGCCCTGATGATGATGATGATGATGATGACGATGATGACGATGACGATGACGATGACGATGATGACGATGACGATGATGATGATGATGATGATGATGATACTTGCTAGCACCAACGCCGAGGGATGAAGAGATTTAACCTTTTGCCAACTAGGGCTAGCACTTGCAAGGCTATTACAAATGGCTAGTGGGAAAACTTGGGCGTGTTAAGCGCTAACCGATAGCTGATGCGGTTAATAAGCTTTGAGAAATGGAGGCGTAAAATATATATATTCAAAAAGAGTTTCTCGGGTATTGTTCATTTTAAGCTTGTGTAGTACACAACATGCGGTAAAAGAAAGTCGACAAAATAAAGTTGAAAACGGCCAGAAGAATTAAGGTGGCTATGAAATAAAAGTAGGAAGGTTTTACACATTATATTTCGTGCTTTTATTATTTTCATAATTTTTCTATTTCCTATTTTATATAATTTCTTTGTAGTGGTAGCTCTATGATAGAGTGTCAGAGCGCAGAATCCGGAGATATGAGGTTCGATTCCACATGGGGACTTTGTCGCACGCTGGTGACAAAGACGAAAAACGTCTTTCAGTAAAGTTGGCGAACCTTTAGTAATGACTGCGAATCTAACACGACTTTAAAATCCCCCGTCTGGTTTCACGTGGGTAATAAGGGTCTTTTTTACAGAATTTTTGGAAAAAAGCTTACAGCTTTTACAAAGCGACATATTCAATCTGGCGAAACACGGAAGTTGAGGATACACTCCTAGGTGACTATCCTTGGGTTTCACCCACGTGACCAATACCTTAGCAACGGTTACTATCCGCCATCTTGGTGTCCCTCGAGCGTAAACAAACCGTATCTAACGAAGAGTTCATGTGAGAAAGATGGGATGGTTTTATGCATTATTGTTGGCTGTTCGAGCAAAAGTGGAAAGCATAAAGACTAAGGATTTTTTCGTATAATAATTTAATAATTTTATTATTTCTAGAGCGCAAAATTCATTATATATATATATAA